AATATTTGAGCCTTTTTTCTTTGTTTTTTTTCTTCTTGTCAAACCTATTTTGATGCCATTGTTTTATATATTGTCCTTCCAGCAACTTATTTTATAGATGCTTTTTTTTTTTTCTTCCATGGTTAAACGTTCCAAAGACAAAAGTTGTTTTTCTTCAACTGAGTGAAGCTGATGCTAATAAAGTCAACTGACACTTTTACAGATGTGCTTGTTGTGCTGAAGTTAATGGGAATATTTCTTCTTTCTTCTTGCTAACAACATGCTGCAGTGGTGGAGTTGGTAATCTTTCTGTGAGCTTCGTATAAAATCAAATCTGTTGCAGTACAAATAGAAAGTCAGGTACCTTTGGAACAATAAACATGCCTGACCAAACAAGACAAACAAGACATAACCGTGCTTAATCTTTTATAATCTTAACAACATTTCTGTGGAAGTGCTGATCCTTTGTTTCTTGGCTTTTCTGCGGTAGGGTCAGCATACTTAAAAAGTAAAAATAGAAGGAGATAAGAAGGGAAGATGTGGAAGAAAGGCAAAGCACTTTTGTCCAGGACCTGCAAGTAACCTGAGGAACCCTTGCTGATCAACAAACAATAGTCCTTTGATATCCCAGCAAGAGACAATGGACAAGAAAATAAATCTGACCACCACTCAAGGACCGTAGGGGAATCCCACTGTACTGAAATGGATGTTCAAACACGCATACACACCATATGTTCTTGGTTTAAGTCATAAATGTGACCCAGGGTCTCTGTTGTAATCTACCTCAGATGTCAAAAAGTGGGAGGTGGAGGGGAGAGAGTGAAAGAAGTGAAATGCAGAACAATCTAAACAAAAGAATCTCTGGGGGAACCCAATCAACCACTTCCGTCCTCCTACATCTTGTCTCCTTCTCCTCCTCCGCTCTTCCTATTTAATTTCATTTTCTGTCTCTTTGTCTTTCCATGCACCGTATCCCCCTCTCCTCCCCGGTGGAATGTATTGTATGAAAGTCCAGGGGCGCTGCTCCACAGGTCAGAGTGGAGGCTGTTCTCATAACCTGCTCCACTCCTAATCTTTCCCCCTTTTTTAATCATGTACCTCTCCTCTCTCTAGCCCGCTCTGCTCTGTAGTTTCCTCCACCTGAAACTCATGAATTTGAGTCAGTCTTGATTTCTATCTCTTACTTAGGGTTCAAATTAATAGACTTTATCCCAATAAAAACTTACAGGTGTTTTATGGGTCTGAAAATATTAAAAAATTAGGTCGAGTGCTGCGACACCACCAGCAGCAGACACACACACACACACATGCTAAACGGTGATGACTGAGTGGGAGCTACCGGTTCATGTTTTGGATCAACTAAATTAATATCACACATCTGGAAGAAGACTCCTGCCGGCTCCACCCTCTGCTGTGCTGCGTTGGTGTGATTCCCAGTTTCCCTTTGTGCATGTGTAAAAGTGTGCGTGTGTGTACGCTGGTATAATGTTTCCAGTACTCCTCTCTTGGAACAGACCACCCACCCAGAAGACCAATAGAATGACCACGGGGAGCCCAGCTAGACACAAACATCTACGCACACACACACATATGCAGCTCCCTCCAAAATCAACCCTTCCCAATATTCTCAGAATAGAACACGTTGTTATCAAAGATTGAAGAGATACCGCAACAACTGACACGCTGACACAAAGCTAAAGATAATATCAGAAATTGAGGAGGTTTTCATATCACGACGTTACGTTCATTTTTAAAAATGTTGCCTGAGGTGAACCGCTCAGCAGTTAGAAAATATTAGAAGGCTGAAATCAGATACCAGAGCCTCATCATGCCTGCTGATAGATGGTTCTCTATATGACAACCGCCACGGGGGACTTCGTGGGCCATGCAGCCGAGCACTGTAGGCCAAAGAAATTCCAAAAGTACCAGAACACTCCTCAATCTACAGGTGCATCCTGAGTCAAGACCCAAATTGCTCCTGGTAGTTTAGATGACACTTTGTGTGACAATCAGTGTTTATCTCTGTGTCACTATTATAGCTTTAGCATTTAAGTTAAGCCAAGATTGGCCTCAAGTAAAGAGGAATTATTAACTGGGGAAAATGGCATTTTCTCTGGCCGTTCCCCTGAATTTTTGGTTTTGGTAGTTTTTGTATGATCTTGATAAGCAAACAGCACTTATGGTTGAAATATACCAACAGGACAAGGCCTCAAAGGTGTCTCTTACATTTTTACCTAAATTTTGAGAGGGCCTATACAGTATACAATTGCATACTGATCAGTCATTACAACTGCTTTTGGTTGATAACTTTGGTTACTACCTACTGGGATTAAAAACAAAAAATATAATAAAAAATGGCAATGGGTTAATGTTTGAATTAAAATGAGATTATGCTGTTTGAGATTTCTTATGTGCAAGACAGTTGCAAGACAATCTTGCATATAATGCAGTGATCATTCAGCTGCACAGAAATTCAGCTTTGAGTCATGGGCTTAAAGCACATACAGTCACAGCAAGGCAATGAAGAGTGAAGAAATTTTCAATATGGGGGAGGACAAAATTCACAGCGAAGATATGAACCTTATCTGAGGCTTCAGACATTTTTGGACTAAATGTTCTCATTGTTATTTTTTCAGACAGTGCTCTCTGGAAACACATTATAGCAAATGAGAAAGGACTGGACCTCTATGTTGCAACCTTTCACATATCTTGAGGGAGTTTCAGGGATTCAGTTTCTTCTAATGCTGAGTGACAATTGCGTCCCTAGTTTAAAAAAAATAAAATAGCCGCAACTAGGTGACAAGCATGGATGAAAAATTCACAAACTGCTACTCGCAACTGAGAGCAAATGGTGTCATTGCTAGGACTGACACCAGAACTACTGATTGATTAAGAGAAAATAGCAACCCTAAAATTTTAAATTAAAAAAAAGCTCATTATCCCGTTGGATGGCTGATAATCAACAATGAATTTCTAACCCTTCGACAATCAAACAACAGATACAAGAGATTGGCAAACAGAAGCATGACTGAAATACACACATAGTTGTTGAAATTTAGTGACCTTACGTTCTGAGAATGAAATAAGTGGACCACAAAAATACTATTATGAAGTTTTAGCCGTTGTTCTGAAGGTTGAAGTCTTGTGTTATTTTGTCTTTTATTGACTTCATTTTTCAAGTTCACGCTTTTGTCACTGCCTCACTGAAACATAGCAGTGTTTCAAACAATCGGTTGTCAAGGAGTTTCAACACGACTTGACAAATGACAAATGAGAAAAACATGACATTGTAAACCCAAATAACAGTCATAGTTCCTGTTGAAGGAGCATTTTCTAGTAATAATTGATGGTCAGAAATCTGTTGCAATAGCTATGAGTCATCTTAGGTTAGATAACTTTATTCTCATGCTTCCATTGAGTGTAAAATAAGCTCAGAGTTTAAACCTGTGACGTTTCCCTGCATATCAGACAAATATCTTTCCACCTATTGAACACTCAGGGCCCACTCAGAGTCACACTTTAAGTGGGGATACAACAAAAACCTTTTCCCTTCATATTTGAGGTGTGACTCTGAGTGGTTCTTATCATGTTTTTTTTTTTTAAAGAAACACTCCACAGGTTATATATCATCCACATACGTGCTCTTAATCATAGCTGTTTGCTTACTGAAAACTCCTAGGCTGTTGGATTGGACTGAAGGCCTCGCTGACCAAACAGCTAATCGTTTCTCCACGTTTTCTCGCAATGTTTATCGCTTTATAGGTTCAGATTAGAGGTGATGAGCACATGTGGTCACCATTTGGTTACTTGTACAGTCTTACTCGTATAACTGGAACCTCACGGTTCAGTCCAACATGTCAGTCAGCTGCAGAGGTGGAATGTACCTAACGACATTTACACAAGTGCAGTACTTAAATATGCACTTTGCTGCACTTTACCTGAGTATTTTCAGTTGCTGCTTTATTATACTTCTTCTCCAATACATTTGAGAGGAAATATTATGTAGTGATCCTACTACTTTGAGTTTACCTAGTTACTATGAAGAATGAAAAATAAAACAAAATACAATATATATAAAATAGATTTTAAAATTGCTACTTTAAGCTTTATCTTGATTCTAATATTTTAATACTTTTGCCATTTTACTGTATTGTAATTTGGAATGCCCAGTTTTTCTACACTGTAATGCTCCTATGCTTCATTAAATTAGATTAGATAAAAGATTAGATGAAACTTTATAAATCCCTTAGGTTGGTTCCTCCGGGAAATTCGGTAAATGTAATTAATGTAATTTTCTTGACACTTTTGAGGTGTTTGTGTGAACTCCTCAGTCAAACAAAAGCAATACATGACACAAATAGAAGTAAATGTGTTTCACTTTGTTGTTTTTGGCTCTTCCTATAATGGATACAATCAACAGACAGACTAAAATAACTGGATTACAACATTTTGTAAAAAATACATTCAACACAGTCAACATTCTTTAAAGTATCTTATATGTCCCTTCTTGTTGTGAAACTGATCAAAACAAAACAGCTATGATGTATTTCTATTTTAAAA